TTATAAAATTATACTGTAATAATTGAGGACATTTCCGGACAAAAGGCACATAACCAAAATGGTGGTTTTGAGAAAAACCCAATTTAAAATTAAGTTTTATTTAACTTAATCACATTTATAAAGTTGTTTGTGTGATAATATTTTACATAATTTATATAACCTTAGCCAAAGACACTAAACACAAATGTATTCAACTGTTCTTGAACCTTAGCTAAAGTTTTTTAAACTCCTTTATAGTAATTATATTTTTTATGAATACGTCTAAATATGAGTGCTATATGCCCTTCTTCCGGAAATAGACTTTTTGGTGCAAATTATTCTAACTTTCATTTATTTTGTGTGATTTAAGGTTATTTTCTACAAACTGCACTGTGAGATAATGGGTAGAACAAATAAATATATTAACACCTTTTAGAATTACACAGCTCTTCCTTTATTGATTGATCATAACAAAGTACTATAAATCAACATCGGGCTATATTAGAAAACTTTTTTTATACAATTCAGATAGAAAATAACATTATAAATGTTCCAATATGTACCTATACTATACTAAGGTCTATTAAAAAACAACACATTGTTTTGAAATCTGAAAGGAAAAGATATTAATTAAAGTAGCCTCATTTAGTGTTTCTGTTAAGCATACACTCAAGCCATTCAGCACTATCTATGTCCAAATGTTTATACAAACTTCTCACATCCTTAATCTTTGCCTCACTGACTTCTGGAAAAGGAACTGTCAAAGGTTTAACTTCTTCTAATTTTTCAATGCTCACTCTGTTCATATACTGGAAGGGAGTGAATGTTGGGTGGTAGTTTTTAGAAGTGAATATTGTTCCATTTGGATTGATTGAACTATATCATCACATACTTCATGATGGTAAATTTTTCATGAATAGAAACTGGATTTTTTATAAAAAAGGAGCCAAGACTGTCGTCCACTCTTTTATAAAGGATCGGTCCATTAACATCTCGAAGTTGGAAGAGTTCTGTCTTGATGTTACAATGGCTTCTAGTCAAGGTTTTTCAGTTCCAATCTTTCACTATCCCAAAGTTCCTGTCGCACTGTGAAAACGAATGGTCTCTAACAGGATAAAGGTGTGTTATTGTAACCTTACGAGTTTTTTAAAGCCAAGAACAAAACTTAAGTAAAGTTGCATTCCTGTTTTGGCCACCTGTTGCATCTGATAATAGAACTATATTTTTTGGCTCAGGATACTTACCAAAAATTTTGTTTAAACGGTGGAACAAAAATGACACAACAGAATTATCATTCCTATTTGCCTGTGTTTCCATAAAACAATGGAAATGGGATGAATCATCTTTGTGATTGTGAATATTAAAAGCATATAGCCACAACATTCTTTTTTAAAACTGGCTGTTTACGTTGAGTTTGGAGATAGGATAGTCAAATTCTAAGACTACCAGAGTAGGATCTGTCTTTGACTGTTCAATGTAATGTTTCTTCCAGTACTTCCGCCTCTTTATTTTCTTTTATGTAGTTCGTATTGGACTCTATACTCGTCTAAGGGGTTTCGCTTCAATTTCTCCACACTTTCAGAACAAAAATCATCAACATCTGTCTTAGGGGCCCTAAACCCATAGTTGAAATGAGATTTAAAAGTTCTAAAATAATGCACATAGGACATTTTCCGTCCGGTCTTGTCGATAATATTCTTGAAATCTTCTATAAAGGTCTTTCACGCCCAATTCTGAGTTTTCAAAATACAAAATGGATGTTTTCTCTGCACAATAATGGCTTTTGTCATATGGAATAGATGATAAATGAGATCCCATAAAGTCAATGACATCCTCAGTCAGTTTATGAGTGCGATTTTTATGTAAGCCACGTTCCTCTTCAAAGTTTAAGCTCTCTAAGATTTTTGACTGAATAATTCTGACACGTTTCTGAATAACACTGAATAATAAAATAAACTTTTGGCACACTTTTAGTTGTAGACCATTGATATTAATCACATAATACCACGCATTGACACGAGGTTTCTTTTGGTGTGTCTTGACATTTGTGTTGTCAGATTATTTCATGCAACTAGCCAAATGGGCATCTTGAAGTGATTTAGGTTGACTATAAAAAGTATCCTAAAGTTGTAACTGACAGTCTGCATCCATATTACTACAGCAACTGTCCAAGCAACAGCTACTTACAATACAAAACTCCTTTGCCATAACCTCAATGTGAGAACGATTGATGGAAGATTCTTCGTTACAGTTTCTCTTCTTAGAATACTCACGTTTCACACTTTCATGAGAATAAATTTTACGTTTCTTTTTAATAATACCAACACCTTCCATGACAGAAATGAATACTCTTATTAGTTTACCTAAAGTAAAACGTAATCTTGAACTTAATAACAAAGCAGAGACCGTCAACAGTTTGTTGTCAACAAACACCACATGATATTGCCCAAAACAGGTGTACCAACTTGCATTCAAAAATCTTCCACACATTATAGAACAAAGATGCAGGAATGAAACTTTGTAGAGTTACTCTTTAAAACATGGCCGTTCATTTAAAACGATTACCGGAAAAAAGACACATATTCCTATGTGCCCCTTGTCCGGAAACCTCCTCAATTATTGTAACTTACGTTGGATTTAAAAATTTATAACTTAACCCTTAAAGATCATTAGGTTAGATTAACAACAAAACCAAGGTACTGCAAAAATATTGAAATCTTTATTCTAAAAAAAATCTTACAAAACAAAGTCAGAACATAATATTTAAACATACTTAAGCACTACCTAAAATCTAGTATCATAATAAAGACACACTAACATTAAAAAATAAAAAAATATAGGTTAATATTAAAATCTTATAACCAAAGTTTCATAACACATGCTTTATACTTTAAACTACATTGAAAAAACAGAGATGTCAAAAACAATTAGGTTAGTAGAGGTAACAGTAGTTAGGTATCAGTTACCAGAGTAAATAATATACTTATACTAATATATAAAGTTTAAAGTTACATTACATATAAAGTTGACTTTGACGTCCAAAAAACTTATATTAAGTTGTACCAAACTTTCATAAAATTAGTTTGTAGACTTTGTTTCTGAAAGCTACTGCAATGTAGCTTGTAGATGTGTAAATAATGCCAACGAAGAAATCCCACAGAAAATCTATCTATAAAAAATCCGTCAAAAAAAAACAAAAAAATTAAAGAGGTAAGTAGGAGATCTAGTCTAGACCAAGAAGGCGATGGCTGCAGGACTTAAAGGAACATTTTAAGACAATGCGAATCAGTCAGTGGAGAAATGAAGCAAAGAGAAAAGTATCTTAAGTTGTAGCTTCAAGAATGTTGACAATCCAAAACACTGTGAAGTACTTACAAAAGAAACACACAAATTTCGAAGGATATACATAAAGAGTAGTAGAGTTATGATAGTAGTCATAAGCTGCATCAACTCGATGTTTCTTTTATGGGGCCCTTCAATACTTATTATGTCAAATGAATCGAAAGATTCTTGCGTAATAATCCTGGTAGATTAGTGACACAGTATTAGGTATCTAAACTCCTTGGAGAGGTATTTACATTTGCAGCTACTCCAACTATTGCGGTAAAGGGGTTTGGAAAATGTAGCATAGTTCCTATAAACAAACAAAAGTTTACTGACGCGGATTTTGCTGCAGCCATAACCACAGAAATTTCAGTGCAAGATTCTATATCTCTTTATAAAGCTAAAAATCAAGAACTGGGTGTTAAATGTCAAAAAAAACTTCTCCTGTGGTGTCAGGAAAAGGTTTGGAGATTCGCAACAAAATATTCCACGACGTCAAGACACACTACTTGCAGGCAAAGAGAACCCGGCTTCTGAAGAGATAGATTTCCGACCAGCAACCTCTGCATCCAACGCTTCAGTTGCTATCTTTTTCAATGAACACAGACAAAATGTCACTGTAGGATCTGAAAATCCAAACTATACATTGGTTTATTTAATCTCTAAAGACCCGCCAAAGCCAAGTACTTCAACATTCCAGCCCAGTCCACTGCCTTATTAAAGTACTTCATGTGATTTAATCAGCAACTCCAAGAGCAAGATGCACTATACTTATGCTGTAAGCCCACAGAATATTGTTTCAATTCTAAAGCAAATATTATCAAACGAGAAAATAAGCGAAAAAAAGGAACAGCTCCAGCTTTGATCTCAAGCCCTTTCAAGATGGAACTAGTAGCCTCAAAAGCAGAAAAAGAAGAAAAGGAAAGGCTTAAGAAAATAAAGCTGAAACTGAAAAAGGAAAGCATAGTAACAAGAGGAATAAAGGAAGCAAAGAAAAATTTAAAGAAAAGCAGAAAATGAAATCAAAATCAGCGAAGAGTGACGTGAGTGAAACTGATTGCCTTTTCTGCGAGGATATTCCGAGTCAAGGGAAAATGAAGGATGGATAACGTGTTCGGGCTGTTTAGGATGGGCACATGAAGCTTGTGCTGGATGTGAAGAAGAAGACAATGACTTTATTAGTGATGTTTGTAAATACATTAGCTGTGAAACTTTCTTTTTTCACGATGGCAATGTTTTTATTTTAAAGCGGCCACCTCATGGCCAGTTTGCCCCACCCGTTGGGCAAAGTGGCCATTTGGTAAAGTTAGGGTAAAAATATGTATCTAAAAAATTTACCAAGAAAAAGTGAAAATTAAAATTGTCTTATGTAGCCAAGTACATAGGATATCGTATGTTAACGTACATCTAGTGTATTTCTTATTTATTTTCTTCAAGATAAAAAAAAAATTCCTTAGCATGGCCACTTTGCCCACCTTTCCGCTAGGGGTCATTCAAGTTTTTAACATTTAGAATTCTTTTTATAAATACGAAAATATTTTTGCTATATAATGTAAATTTATTGATAAAGGGACTAATAGCAGAATGTTCTGTAGAGAAATATGTTGACCTGAAAAAGAATGTTTTTGATGTTTATTTGGAGTAGGTATTATCTTTAAAACTTTATGGAAGGGGATGTAGCCAGAGGAGAACCGGGTAGAGACCCTAGTGGTGGGGTTTGTACAGTATTTTGGAAATAGTATAATGCGCCTTTCGTATGTTTTCGTAATAAATTTCGTATAAATCTAATCGAAACCAATGTTCACACATGATATATATGAAGTATAATGAAGCGCATAAACAAATCAGATCTGACATAAAAATAGCGAAAAAAAACATTAACAAAGTATTCTCCACAAAAAGTGAAGTAACGGTGAAATGTACCATATAACACAAAATGGCAGCTTATTTTCAAATACAAACCAATCTAAAAGTGCTCTGGTTATTTTTTAATATGTGTAATAAGTCAAATTATCTAAAGAAAAACTTAAATGCTTCGAATCTGCAGAATAAATGAATCTTCATTAAGTAGTTTAGAACATCTAGTTGGCAGTAGTACTGGTAACCTAAAAATAAAAAGAATATTATTAAAGTGTGTCTCCTAACATGTGCATTCCTAAATTAACTAGCAATTTTTTTATCCGCACAATAAGTGACAATATTAAAAAAAAATTGGGTATTCCGACTCTTACAAAAATTTGAACAGTTTTATATTGTACCACAAAACGGTCGCATAATAACACCAAAAGTCACCAAAATATGTAGGTTAGATCCGTCAATGTATCCTCACCGTAGACTAATTTAATTGTCTTAGCAGATAAATTAATCTTAAGCGTTTCAACAGTGCTTTGTGTGTTTACATGATCCCGACACAGGCCCGGAACTAGGCAGGGGCAAAGGGGCGTGAGGCCCTAGATCCCTAGATATTCTCCGTAATAATTTACAATACTGCTGTGTTCAAAATGTGCTGATAATAATATCAAAACAATACACAATTTATATTTCATTTACTGTACCAAAAAAGTATTCAACTGTACCGGGTGGTCCAATAAGCCGATCTCTCGGCTATATATCAGAAACTATTCATGTTATAACTTTAGGAAAAAAAATTCCTTAGTAAAAGTGGCCAAGAGAAATCGCTGAAAATAACTTTCAAGATTCTGGATTAACCGCTAGGGGGCGTAACCTGCGAAAAAAATTTTGAAAACCAGTTTTTTGGGAAATATGTCCAATTATACCAAGTGTTAAATAAGTAAACTAGAAAGGGGCATAAATTCTGCACAAAGTTGTTCAAGTACTTTTTTTTTATTTTTTCAAATAAAGGATGGGGGAGAGTGGGAAAGTATTTGTGGATAAATACCTATAACTACCCACCTAACCCACCTAACCACCTAGTTAACCTAATAAGAAATCTGTATAATAAAAACTCAGCCAAAGTTAAAGTACATGGAATATATTTAAATGCATTCAAAACAGAGAAAGGAACTAGACAAGGTTGCATACTATCACCATTATTGTACAACATATATTCTGAATATATAATGAGAAAAGTACTAGATGAATGGGATGGAGGAATCACTATAGGAGGCAGAAAAATTAGTAACCTGCGATACGTAGATGACACACTTATACTAGCAGCGAATGAAGTCGAAATGATTACCATCATCGAACGGCTAAGCCGAATAAGTGAAGAATTCGGACTTCAAATCAACACCAGAAAAACAAAAATAATGATTGTAGACAGAGCAAATAATAATCTACCGCATATACGCCAAATAGGGATTTTCGAAGTAGTCGACAGATTTGTATACTTGGGCTCTCTGATAACCAACAATGGTGACTGTTCCTCAGAAATCAAACGCAGACTAGGAATGGCCCGAACCGCAACTGCTAAATTAATTAAAATATGGAAAGACCGAACAATAACAAGGAATACTAAGCTTAGGTTGGTCAATGCCCTTATTTTTCCCATTGCTACATATGCAGCTGAAACATGGACTCTCAAAAAAATCGATAGGAGTAAGATCGAAGCCTTCGAAATGTGGGTATATAGAAGAATTTTACGCGTGTCCTGGACAGAACATAGAACCAACCTGTCAATTCTGGAAGAGCTTCATATAAAAGACAGGCTACTAAAAAAAGTAAACCAAGCATACCTAACTTACTTCGGCCACATAGCTAGAAGAACGGGCACCATGGAACTATTGGTAGTAGAAGGTAAGGTAGAAGGCCGAAGACCAAGAGGAAGATCTCCAATACGATGGGTGGACCAAATGAAGAGTTTGGTGGGAAAATCCCTACATGAAGCCGTCCATATGGCACAAGATCGCAGTCGATGGAGACAGCAGACTAATAATATTTACGGTGTCACTACGCCCTGACAAGGACTAAAGGATTGAGGAGAGAACCTATAACTTTGGTTTGGTCCAACCGATTTTAATCAAATTAGTGTCATTAGAAAGAGTGTGGATGAATTAATTCATATCTACTATAAAATACTTGCATTTAGTTTTCATAGTCGTAGGTAGAGGGGACTTTCAAATAAAAAAAATTAAAATTTGTTTTTCTTTAAAATTTTTAATGGAAACACCTATTTATTTTAAATTATAATGGAACTGGAATAAATTCTTAACAAAATGGAGCATGTTCATAGCTTTTGTTGAACTCGAGATATGAATAAAAACTCATAAACATAAATATGTATAGTATTGACACACCCTGTATTATAAATTACATTAAAAAATAAGTGAGTAGGTATTTTCAAATTTTTTTATAGCAGAAGAATCTTAATGTTGATACCTTTTTTGTGAAAAATAGTTTTTTTTCGAAACTAAGTAGGCTACGACAATGAATTTGACGGGGAGTTCATATTGTTTATTTATTGACAGCAGTCAAAACATTGTTATGAAGTGCTATATTATAATTCGAATTAAAGAGTGCACTTTTTTCAATAGATATTAATATTGGTAATATTAGTAATTAATTATCAGTACAAATAATTCGTAATAAGTATATCAAATTGTATGATATGATTGGAGTTTACTTCGAATGTCACCAAAATGCCTCTATTGCCTCACGTATATATTTTGTAAGATATCGTGACCGGAGACATTATGGCAAAGAAATATTTGAAAGAAAGGCAAAAAGAATAAGAGAAACTGGTAGTTTTTCTCGTCCTTGTTTTAAACGACGTAGTAGAGTAATGACCGAAGATAATTCAATCAATGTTCTTCCTTAAATTCAACAGAATCCACATATAAGTAGTCCGAAATCTCTACTTCTTTGCCACAATATCTCCTGCCAGGATATCTTACAGAATATATACGTGAGGCAATAGCGCCATTTTGGTGATATTCGAAATAAACTCCAATCATATCATACAATTTGATATACTCATCACGAATTATTAGTACTGATAATTAATTACTAATATTACCAATATTAATATCTATTGAAAAAAATGCAATTTTGAATTCGAATTATAATACATATAACACTTCTTAACAATATTTTGTCTGCTGTCAATAAATAAACAATATGAACTCCCTGTCAAACTCATTGTCGTAGCCTACATAGTTTCGAAAAAACAATTTTTAATCATATGAAATAACAATGGTCAAAATAGGTATCAACATTAAGAGTTTTCTGCTATAAAAAAATTTGAAAGTACCTACTGACTTATTTTTTAATTTATTTTATAATACAGGGTGTGTCAATACTATACTTACTTATGTTTATGCGTTTTTATTCATATCTCGAGTTCGATAAAAGCTATTAACATTCGGTTTGCGCCATTTTTTTACGAATTTAATTCAGTTCCATTATAATTTACAATAAATAGGTGTTTCCATTAAAAATTTTGAAGAAAAACAAATTTTAATTTTTTCTATTCGAAAGTACCCTCTACCTACGACAATTAAAACTAAATGCAATTATTTTATAGTATGTGTAAATTAATTTATCCATACTCTTTCTAATGACACTCATTTTGTTAAAATCGGTTGATCCAAACCAAAGTTATAGGTATTTATCCACAAATACTTTCCCACTCTCCCCCACCCTTTATTTGAGAAAAAAAAAAGTACTTGAACAACTTTGTGCAGAATTTATGCCTCTTTCTAGTTTACTTATTTAAAACTCGGTATAATGGGACATATTTCCCAAAAAACTAGTTTTCAAAATTTTCTTCGCTGGTTACGCCCCCTAGCGGTTAATCCAGAATCTTGAAAGTTATTTCCAGCGATTTCTCTTGGCCACTTTTACTAAGGAATTTTTTCTCCTAAAGTTATAACATAAATAGTTTCTGATATATAGCCGAGAGATCGGCTTATTGGACCACCCGGTACATTGGCCAAAAACCAGTAAGATATTAGTTTGCTTTTCCATACTTATATAGTTTTGTTTGTTGGCTTAAAATGTACAGAACTGCAGTTGTAAAGTTAAAAAACGCAATTTTCGGTAAGCTGTTCATCATCATCATCCTGCAACCTCTTCTGATCACTGCTGGAGATAGATCTCTCCCATTTTTCGCCACTCTTCACGGTTCTGTGCTTCTTGTTGCCATTTCTTGGATATTCGTCTAATGTCGTCCATCTAGCATGTTGATGGTCGTTCTCTGCTGCGTTTGTCTTCTCGTGGGCACCAGTTAATTAGTTTTCTGGTACATCTTGTGTCTTTCAGTCTGGCTATGTGACCTGTCCAATTTCATTTCAGCTTGGCTATACGTTCGATGACATCACTGATACCTTTCTGATACGTTCTTTTCCGTATGTCTTGATTAATTATTTTGTCTTTTTTGTCACGCCGAGAATTGATCTTTCCATGCGCCATTTTGCCACTCGCATTTTTAGTGCTGTTGTTTTTGTGAGCGTGAGAGTTTCTGCTCCGTATGTCATAATAGGAAGAATGCATTGGTCAAATGTCTTCCGTTTCCTAACTATCGGGATTTTGCTCTTAAACATGCCTCTTAGTGAACCATACCCCGCCCAAGCAAGTGTTATTCGTCGTTGAAATTCGCAGGTCTGGTGGTCCTTGCCTATTCTGATTTTATGACCAAGGTATAGGTATGTACTTTTCTGTCAATTCCACCACTTGATTTTGGATGATTAGGTGTTCGCTGGGAACTAAATTTGTCATAAATTTGGTCTTACTGATGTTCATTTTTAGACCTATTGTTGAAGATACGTTTTCTAATTATTGTAGCATTTGTTGGGCTTCACCCAGATCTTCGGCAATAAGTACTACGTAAACGCATATGATTGAGCATTTTTCCATATATTTTTATTCCTCTATTTCCCCACTTTAGCATTTTAAAGGCGTATTTAAGGACCGTTCTAAATAATTTAGGGTAGAGAGTGTCGCCCTGTCTCACCTAAATCTCACTTCGCTTGATATGAATTTCTCAGTTATTATCATGTAGTTTTACACGCATTGTGGCGTTTTGGTATAATGTTTGTACTAACTTTGTGAGCCGGTAATCTATTTTACTATTATTCAGAGCAGTTATAATGCTGTCTAATTCCACAGTGTCGAAGGCTTTGTGAAAGTCTACGAAGATAAGGACCAG